GGTACTGAGTTGTGGGCGGGCCAAGGAGAACTCGCGAAACTTAGGCACTGGACGTGCCACCAGGTTCGTCCCGCAGCTCCGAGGGCTGGCAGGTGAGGAGTGACGGTGGGCGAAACTGGTTAAGTTGTTATCGCTTCGAGCGGAGACGGCTAGAGGCGGCTCTGGTCCTCGAACACCGGCCCCGCCGAGCGGCAGTAGAGGCGAGGAGACCCGTGCAAAAACACAAAGACTGAGGTAGGGAATGCGAAGGGTGAAGCGGTCCCTCAGTCCGCTCTGCCCACTCTGCACCCACAACTCAGCGGCGGTCTGTGCCGTTCGTCTCCAGGCCAGCAAGGTGAGAACAATCTATTTTCTGGCGAATAAAACCGTTCAATTCGGGGACCTGCCCCGTACTCGCTGCTGCAAAACAACGGCAGAGGAAACACCCATGTTCCTGCGTGCGCGCGGGCGGTTGTGGTCGCGCGTCTTCCAGCAATGGTAAGCCCGTTCTTACATAATACAAAATAGCCAAGGACACCAGACCATTTGAGGAGCACTTCCCCAACGACCAACGGGTCCAAAGGACCAAAGCAACGCAGACAGATCGAAAGGGACTCTGAAGTAGGCGGGGCAGGGGACACGAAGAATAACGTGTAATTCAACGATCCCCAGGGCACAGAGAGGGGATTCCTCTCCCACACAGAACAAGGCTATAAAAAAAAGAATGAGGAAGAGCAGCTTGACAGTTTTAAACACAGTAAGAAATAACTTCAAGAAAAGAAAGGAAGGAAGAAAAGGAAGCGAGAAGAGGAGCCGACCACACGAGCGGACCAGAAGGCCATTAAAGGCATCGTATCTAAAGCAGAACAGCTTTCCAGAAATACAGCACTGCGACACTAAAAATACATACAAACATGTCTTCAACCAATACAAGGGAGAATGAATTCACTTAGCATGTACTGATTCCCCACACTCAAACACCACAATCAACCCATACGGACTCCTACATCGACAGATAGATTTTCCAGATTCCCAAAACAAAAACAGGATAGCCCACGCTACTCCTCGCTCGCTCCACCCGCGCGAGCGCCTGCGCGCGTCACCCGGTGACTCCGGCACAGGAGGAGGCAGCAGCACCGCCCACGCGTCTGCCACTGAACTGAGAACGGCCAGAGGCCACCAGCTCGACAGTGGCCCTGCAAAAGCCGCCGTCCCTGCCTAATCAAAAGAGGACACAGCCGCTCCGCCGCGCGCGCGCTCTCTGGGCGGCGGCGGGAAGCAGAGCCTCCCCCGCTTCCTGGATAGTCCACTTTACTGAGAAACAGGATCTGGTGGGTGCTTTTCTTTTTTTACTCAAGTGGAGCATTGGGAATAATTAATGTGGTACCCACTGAAAATGAACAAACCTAAAACGCGCCAAGACAGTAATACCTGAAAAAAAACACCAAAAATTACACAAGAAAAGGAAGTGCCCCCTGGGATACACAAGGCTCCAGCCTCCTGAGCAGACTCTTACCAGACCCACATACATCGCAAACCCTGAAAGCAGACTTCCGGGAAACAACCTGGGCCGGCGCACGAGGCTCATCCTTTAATCCAAACCACGTTTAGGAGGCCGAGCGTGGGAAACCATCACTTGAGGCCCAGGACGCTCAACACCAGCCTGGGCAACATACGCAAGACCTTGTCTCTACCACAAACAGAAGAATTCCTGGGCAATAGCGGCGCTGGCATCTGCTAGTCCTACCGCGCTACTCGGCGAAGGTGGAGCAGGATAGGATCACCTAAGCCTAAGGGACGTTAGACGGTTGCTGTGAGGTAGGCTGATGCTACAGCACCTCTCCCGGCCACCAAGTGAACCTACCAAAACGTAAAAACTCTAAACAACAAAAAAAATAAGAGAGAACAGCAGAACAAAACTGGTGATACACCCGTCACACTGAACGAAAGGATTAGGCGAACAGCCGTGCTGTGTGCCACGTACACACAAAGTCACCGGTGCAGCGGCAGGGCCAGGGGTACTGCGATACCGTAAATCCAAAGACTTCTCTTGCGCGGCGTCCGGTGGCTCACGCGCGTTTGTTTTTTTAATACCTACCGCACTCTGGGAGGCCAAGGCGGGTGAACTGCTCGAGGTCAGGAGTTCGAAATCAGCCTGAGCAAGAGCTAGACCCCCAACTCTACCAGAAATAGAAAGAAATTAATAGGGCAACTAAAAATATATAGAAAAAATTAGCCAGCCATGGTGGCACATGCCTGTAGTCCCAGCTACTCGGAAGGCTGAGGCAGAAGGATTGCTTGAGTTCAGGAGTTTGAGGTTGCTGTGAGCTAGGCTAACGCCACGGCACTCTAGTCCAGGCAAGGAGTGAGACTCTGTCTCAAAAAAAAAAAAAAAAAAAACCCTATAGTAGGAATCCCAAAGCAATAGTATGTAAAACTGAAAAGCCAGAAAAACAACAGTACAAGCATATTTTTAGGTTATTCTAGGGAGAAATAGTTAAAAGAGCTGAAAATGCAGTGACCTTGGAAGTGAAGAGGAGCTAGCGCAGTTGTATGTTTCAGCCACATGCCTATAGTACTTTAATAGAAGTATAATTTTTAGTGTTTCTTTAAAGCAGAATTTTGTTTAAAAAAAAAAAAAAGGCAGCGTTTGCACAGTGCCCAGCTCCGAGCCAGCCCAGCTACTCCTGCTCCCTCCCTGCCCCCCTCAGCTCTTGGAGCACTGGAGGAACAAATGGGGGGCTCTTTTTGAATCTTACAGGCCCCCATCACCAACTCTGGGGGCGGTGCGGAAGGGGCAGCGCTGGGGCAGGGCCGCTGACGCAGACGCCAAATGCTGGCGAACTCTGGGGCGGCCTGAAGGCCTCAACTTCTCAGCAGCTGCTGGACTGTTTGTAAACTCCCGGGGAGAGGCCAGGCCAAGGGGACAACAGCGTTGCTAGGAGATGCGCTTCACAGGGCGCAGACTTCCTGAGAGGACCTTTAGCAGGGGTGGGAGGCAGGTTGGGATGTGCGGGGCCTGAACAAAGAGGCTTCTGGAGTGGGGGTGACCGCCAGCCATCTGCTCCGGCCTCTGGGGCTTGAAGCAAGAGCGGAGCAGAGGCTCCCCTGGCTGTGTCCCCCGCCTTCTGCCACGCGCCCCAGTCTCAGGGCCTAGCCAAGAAGAGGGCCGGCCCCTGCCCCTCGGCCACACAGGGAGCGGCCCCTTGGCGGAGAACGGCTTTTTGCTTCAGAAGAACCAGGTGGGCAGAGGCTGCCCCGGGCCCCCCATGCAAGGTTGGCAGCTCACTGGAAAAGGATCCTCAGTCCCAGCCTAACCCAATCTCAGCCTTGACAGCTGCCCAGGTGCCCAGGGGTTTCCAGAGCACCAGGTAGGCCCCGAACAGGTCCCCATCTAGCCTCAGTATTCCCGCATGAAGGAGCAGGACAGGACACCAGCTGCGGAGGCCTGGGAATTTAATGAGACCCCACGTGGGAGAATGTAAGGCACACAGCAGGCACTTAATAACGTCCCTTATTTGTTTGAAAGTTACAGAGTAAACAGCTCCCATGTGCCAGGCATGGGCTAGCCCGCTCCGCAGGGTAACAGTCTGCTCAGGAAGACGCGTGAGCAAGGTGACTGCAAACCCTGGGGGAGCTCGCAGGACCGGACGGGCGCTGGCAGCACAGCAGCAGGGAAGGCCTGAGAGACGCTGGAGGACGGACAGACAGATGGGGGGGAGCGAAGGAGCGGCTACACAGAGGAAGAGCTTTCCAGGCCAAGTGGGACTGGCACATACCAAGCCCCCAAGGCTGGGAAGCGTGGGGGTGGGGAGGACTCCCGTTAGGCGCCTCCATTTCCTCCCACCCCAGAGGCATTTCCTGTGCACTCTGAGTCCTCAGGGACAGACAAGATTCAACTCGGGACAGGAAGAGACACTCCAGCTGCTTGGGGATCGAGCATGATGCACCCCAATACCCACGACGCCCAGGCCCCCAGGTCAGGGAAGCGGACAACTTCTGGGTGTGGCGGGGCTGCTTGGACCATATCTGTTCACTTTATGCAAAATCATCAGCAAAAGGTACAGGGAAGAGACAGGAAACCACATGCCCTGAAAGTAGGGTGGGCATCAAAGTGGGGGTCTTGAATCGAGGGACCCCCCTCTCCCTTCCTGCTCCTTGCCCGGCATCGCTGGCCTCTCCCTCCTCCTCCACCCTCCACGTGGAGCTCTGTCTGACCTGCAATTTCTAATCTTGTCATGTTTTTGTGCATCAACAGTAAAAAGGAAAATCTAAATTCTCTGTGCGGCCTGCAGGGCTGTGTATGTCCCTGTCTCTGCCTCTCGGTGCAACCCGTTCTCCAGTCGCTGACCTCTCCTCTGGCCGAGGCTGGCCCCCAACACAGCACCCCCAGCAGCCTCCCGGCCAGGCACGTGTGGATCCCTCTCTCCCCGTCAGAGCTGCTTCCTTGTCTCCTTGGAAGCAAACAGCAGTGACTGTTTAGGGGCCACAGGTCCCAGAGGGCCGGGAGGGTGGGGGCTGGCTTTTCCTCTTTGTAACCCAGGGCCTGGCCTGTGGCTGGAGCTCAGAACAGGAGCAGGTGACGTTTCTACTCCACACACAGAACTGAAAGGAAGCAAGGCCCCTGCTCGGTGGCACAGCAGAGCACCTCATGGGACAAAGCTCTCATTACTGAGACACACGGGGGTGCAGGCCTGGCCCTGCTGCTGCCCTGCCGCAGGTCCCCGGATGAATCCTACCCAGCTGGACCTGGGGTAGCCTGGAGTTTCTGTCTACAAATGGCCCACCCCGCAGTGGGAGATGTCAGAGTCGACAAATGAGACCCAGGTAGAGGGGCCCTGCTTCCAGGTGTCTATATCATAAGACTCCACTACCACATGCTGTTACCTGTCGATTTGGGACAGAAACCCTGGGGTGGGTGAAGAAGTGAGGACTGGGTCAGGAGAGGAGCGTGGGAGGGGCACCAGCTGGCCCGCCAGCGCCCCAGCCCTCCCTCGTGCCCCACCCGCACCTGTGCTCACCCTCGTAGCAGTCGCGCACGGTGCCGAAGTACACGTAGTACTGGTCGTTGGTGAAGAAGAGCAGGCTGAGCCAGGAGTCAAAGGCGTAGATGGGTACGATGAAGAGGATCCGGACGATGTAGCGCTGCTCGTTGGGGCAGCTGTAGCAGCGCAGGTGCATGTAGATCTGGGAGCAGAGGGGGCGGGTCAGCCAGGCCCTCCTGTCCCCGGGAGGAGTAGCCTAGCCAGGGGACGCGGATGTGTGTGGACTCCAAGCTCTGCTGCTTACTGGTCTGGGACCTGATGTGAGCCCCAGAGCCCCGCCCTGTAAGATGCAGGTGATAAAACCTGCGCCTGAGACTGCTGTGAAGCTCAGACTGGCGGGCACACAGAGCTCAGGGGACACATGTGCGGCGCCCCGGACGGCCTTGCAGATGCTGCGACTGTGGGCCCACCCCCCAGGCCAGACGTCAAGGCCGAGCCTGGAATCCAGCTTAACAGGCCCCCAGGAGCTCACACAGGCAGCTCTACCCCCCAGCCTATGTCCCCTCTGCCCTGGGTGGCGGGTCTAAGGCGGCAGCACGGAGCTAAGGCGTGGCCACCTGAGTTGGAGCCCACCCTGCCCTGGCATCCCCTAACTTATGGTGCAGAGGGCGAGAGTCAGGGGCCCCTTCTGAGGGAGGTGGACACAATTCCTGGCTGAGTGGCCACAGTGACGTCCTCACGCTGGGCCTTCCGGGCTGTTAAACAAAGGCAGCGCCACTGGCCTCACTTGGAAGTTAGAACAATGAAGTGCAACTTTCAGAAAGCAGGGACAAAAAACAGGAGCTACACACAATGCCAAGAGCTGCTTAGCACGGCCCTCAGTACTGCAGCCCCCGTGGGTCCCGTCCCAGCTCTCCCGACATCACGCTTGGCTTGCCGAGCCCTGGGCAGGGGGAAAAGAACAAAATATCCTCCGTCTGCTACGAGCAGCCACCTTGGATGTAAGAGGATTCTAAAAGGGACAGGGGCACAGGCCAGCGGGGCCGACTGGGGAACCGGGGGGGGGGCGGGACGCACCTGGCCCCTCTTCACTGGTCACCTTCAACCCTCCTCTTCAGGCCCCAAGCCTGTCCCAGCCCACACCAGCCTACACGGGGCAGCGAGCAAAGGGGGTGAGGAACTGGACTTCTACCCCAGCTCTGCCACCAACTTACAAGTGGCCAGACTGGCTTTCCCCTCTGGCTCTCAGTTTCCATCTGCAAAGGGCCCCTGCCACCCACGTGCTCCTACAGTTCCTGGCTCCCTGAAGCTTCAGCTGGACATGAGACTAATTCTAACCAATAGACGGTTAGCAGAAGTGACAGGTGTCATCCCTGGAGTGTGGCGGTCACATATCTAGGTGCCTTCCTCACGCCTACTGCCCCAGCTGTCAGGGATGATCCCTGAAGCAGCTCGATGCTGGAGCCGCAAGACAGCGCCTGACCCGCCCCGGGCAGCGCTGGGACCGGCGCAAGAGATCACCTTCTCCTGGGCGGCGCCTCTGAAACCCAGGTTTGTCTAATACTGCAGTATTAGGCCAAGCCTAACACTCTGCTGCACTAAAGCCACTCGGGGTCCTCTAGAGGGCCCCCAGATGGGCCTGGGTACCTGGTGGCAGGTGATGAGCAGGGCCGTCCACACGAAGAAGCCGGAGATGGCCTGAGCGGCGGTAGTCATCAGGAACACGGGCTGCTCCATGGCGGTGGGGCTGCCCTCGGGGATCGCGGAGACGCTGGGGGAAGCTGCTGCGGTCGTGGGCGACGCTGGATCCGGGGCCAGCGCAGCCCCCCTCACGGTCATGGTGCCTGGCAGCAGGAGGCTCCCTGAGGGAAACCCTTGCAGGAGGCGACAAGCTAGCCTAGGGGGAAGAAATCACGACCTTAGTCTCCTCCCGAGGTGCATGGCAGTGTCAGAAAGAATCTTCCAGGTCTCTACATCCACCTCCGGCCAAGGCTCACCCGATCCCAGCCGTCACCCTGGTACCGAGGCCACCTGCCGACCTCTGGCAATAACCTGCAGTACAGCCGGAGGAGCGTCAGGCAGTTGCCAGAGATGCAAAGTGCAGAGCAGGGGCGCCCGGGGAGAGCCTGGCTGCAGCGCCAGTTCCAGCGCCACTGCTAACGCCACTGCTAACCAGCTGTGTGCCCTGGGGTGATTCCCTGGGCCCCATAGGCTCTCTGCTGCCTGACCCAGAAACTGGACAAACCCCAAACCCAACCATCCCGGCCTGAACCCCGAGGTCAGCCAAGATGACTCTCATGGTCCCTTCCAAGTCTGTGAGTTCATATTCAAGCCAAAACATGGTGACACTGATGGGAGGCTTTCCTGGGCCCTCCCGGGTACAGCCTGGTCCCCCAAGAAGAGGTTTCTCTGCCCGCTGCAGGCACCACTCCCCGTGCCCCAACTCCTCGCCAACGGCTCAGCACTCCTGCTCCCGAGAATGGCACGTCGGCTCTTAGCTGTAAGCGTGTACCCTAGGAGAGCCCTCTACACTTCTATTTCCTACATATAAATGGTCTCTAACACACCGACCAAGAGATGCATCTAGATTAAAAACTCAAAAATGGAGACGGCATCTATATAAAGAAACTCAAAAATGGAGAAGGTGTCTATATAAAGACTGGAGGCAAGCTTTGAAAAAGAGACACAGTGACAAGTCCAAGAATAGCTCCTGTAAGTATGGCTGCAAAATTGAAAACCAATGCCAGAAATATTTCTTGAAAAAGAAGATTTGGGTTGTAAACCATCATCTTTGTCTATCATCCCAAATTAAATGAATAAACACAGGGAATGGGGGGAGGAAAGGAAGTACAAATACTCCTAAATCGTCACCTTCCAAGCAAGGGCGGGGCCTGTCAAAGGCTGTTTTGCCCTTGACTAAAGGAGTGTTGAGAGGCCCGTGCAGACTCCCCAGCAGAGGGGCAAGCCCAGGGAACCGACCCACCAGGGCTGGGATCTGGGTGAAGGCTCCAGGCCAGCTTCTTCCCAGGGCTTTGCTCACTCACGCTCACATACCCCGGGGCATTCCCAGAGCTCCCTCCCGCTCTTTAGCTCTTTATGTAGGTCACTTAATTCACAAGAAACTCAGCCAGAGACAGTGGTGATTTAACCCAAATCAGAGCAAGGAATCAAAGCCAGGTCCTCCAAACATGTTGTCTCCCCACCTCCCACCAAGTGGCGGGACCGGATGAGCTGCCCCTCCCCCCACTCCAGAGCCCCCTTGCAGGACAAAGCCCGTCCTCCCAGGGGCCAATCTGCACAGCGCTAGGCCCTGTACCTTATTCACCACGTATGCTGGGGCGGTAGGGTGGAGACTGGAGTCTGACCCTTTCATACATAGTACAGGTTCCTACCTGGGAAGGCTCTCTGGCCTGCCCAGGCCCCACAGGCAAGCGGGACTTTGGCCTGGCACGGGCCCTGGACCTTGGAGAAGTAGGGGCAGTGCTGCCTGGTGCAGCCCCTTTGCGCCCCTGGGGAAGGGCCTCCATGTCGCCCCTTTTCCAAGTTAGCCCATGCACCTGAGGCAGGGGATGGGAGATGCACACGAGGCTCGGAATTCCAGCTGCTCTGGCAGGACCCTGTTACTTTCTTAATTGACCAAATGTTAAACTTCTACCAGGGACATGGCAGAGGGGCCAGAGGGGAGATGCCAGAATCTTTTTTTTTTTTTTTTTTTTGAGACAGGGTCTCATTCTGTTGCCTCAGCTAGAGTGCAATGGTGTCATAATAGCTCACAGCAACCTCAAACTCCTTGGCTCAAGCCCAGGTGCATGCCACCATGCCCGGCAATTTTTCTAATTTTTGTAGAGATGGGGTCTTACTATGTTCCCCAGGCTGGTGTCAAACTCCTGGCCTCAAATGATCCTCCCACCTCGGCCTCCCAAAGTGTTAGGCAGAATCATCTTTCTAACAAACACATCCTGAGGCCTATGGACTAGCGCTGGGCCCTGGGCACTGAGGTACTCCCAGCCACTCTTGGCAATTGCTCTGTGCAACAGGGGTAACCTGGAGGCCTCATCCCCTGGCACTGCTGAGAGGTGAGTGCCCAGCACTACAGGAGCCCAGGGCAAGCATCGACTGGCTTGGCCAAGGTTAGGGAGGGGGTCAGGGAAGGCTTCCACATGGTGGGGCTTTGGGACAGAGTCTCAAAGTAGCATATATAACCACACATCAGCCTTGAAGTCACCCAATAGGACTCCCACCAGAGTACACCACCTGCAAGTCTGGGCAAGTGACTTCTCTCAGAGCCTCAGTTTCTTCATCTATAATATCTCAGGGAAACTACTTAATCAACAAGGGAAAGTTCTAGTTTACAGAGTTTCCATTAATAAATGGAGATGGAATAAAAGAATTAAAAGTCACCATTTTGCAATTCCTAGTTCAAATAACAATGTAGATACGGATGACAAAAGCAGCAGGTGCAAGACTGATGGGGAACTTGCTAACGGAAGAATCAGGTGGCACCCCTGAACCACAGTCAGTATCAATGACACTAAAACGGGGTGGCCAGAGGTCTCGAGCCAGGAGGCCAGCTCAGGAGGCCAGCACCTAGGAAGGACTCGGGAGGCCAGCACCTAGGAAGGACTCGGGAGGCCAGCACCTAGGAAGGACTCGCGCCCAGAACATGAACTGGAGTCTAAACAAGTCTCCAGAACTAGCCACTGGGACCCAGAAGACAGAGGGGCAGAGGAACAGACACGGTGACGCCCTGAGGAAGCAGCAGCCACTCTAGACTGTGAGTCGGTCCACAGGGCAAATGACCTGGGTCCTCCAACAAATTAACGGCTGTTACAGAATAAGAGACACAACGAAACACAATGTGTCTGAGTCCTGATGCCTAGAAGCCAATAATTAGAAGACATCTTGGAAATAAAGAACGGTCAAGAATTCCTGTCAATTTTATTACAGTGATGATGGCAAAACTAAAACTCCTTATCAGTGGAGGAAGAATAAGCCTTTCAACAAATGGTGCTGCCCCATTGGAGAATCAGAAGCCAAAAACCAAAAAAAACGTGACTCTTAACCTAAACCCTTATACCATTTACAAAAATTAATTACAAATGGATCACAGATTTAGATGTAAAATATAAAACTATAAAACCTTTATAAAATATAGAAGAAAATATTTGAAACCTAGGGCTAGTGTTCTTATACCAGACACCAAAGGCGTGATCCATAAAAGGAAAAACTGATACACTGAAATCATGGGAAGTAGAAACTCTGGCGCTGTGAAAGACTCCACCAAGCGGATGAAGACAGGCCGCAGAGGGAAGCACTGTTTGTAAGCCACGGAGGTGGTAACTGACTAGCATCGGGAATATATCAAGAATGCTCAAAAAGCTCAATGGTTAAAAAAAGGAAAAAATCCAATTAGAAAATGGGCAAAAAACATGAACAAATATTTTAGAAAGAACAGATACGGGGCCGGACAGGGTGGCTCACGCCCATAATCTCAGCACTTTGGGAGGCCAAGGTGGGAGGATTGCTTGAGGTTAGTTCTAGACCAGCCTGGGCCACATAGCAAGACCCCATCTCTACAAAAAAAAGAAAAATTAGTTAGGCATGGGGGGGGTGTGCCTGTAGTCCCAGCTCCTAGGGAGGCTGAGCAGGAGGATCACTTGAACCCAGGAGTTCAAGGCTACAGTGACCTATGACAATGCCACTGCACTCCAGCCTGGGTGACAGAGCAAGACCCTGTCTCTAAAGCAAACAAACAACAAAAATTGAGAACAGATACAGACACATGATGGCAAATAAGGACAGTTTGTTGGCTGGCAGAAGGCAGTGACAACAATGAGGAGGGGCGTGTACACTTAGAGGGCAGCAGGGGACTTCTTTCCAGGTGATCAAATAGTATGTATCTTGACAGTGGTGGTGGCTACATGAATCTATACCTGAAAAAAAATCACACTGAACTATACACACACTCCATATACAAAAACAGGTCCGTACTCTGGTTAACAGTACTGCACTAACGTCCATTTCCTGGCTTTGACGTTATACTACAGCTAGATAGGATGTCACCATCGGAAGACATCACCTCCGATCGTGACATCCTACAAGGTCTGGGTGAAGAACACACCAGATCCTGCATACTATTTTTTTTTCTTTTTTGTAACTTCCTGTGAGCCTGCAATTATTTCAAAACAGAAAGTTCTTAAGTCTTTATCAAGTAGAGATACATATTGAAGTATTTAAGGGTGAAAAAATAACACGGCATCTGGGATTTACTTTTTAAAAGGCAGAGAAGGAAAATGAAACAGTATCACACAATGTTGCTAACTGTTGACACTCAGTGACAGAGAGGGAGACATTCATTATACTATTTGCTCTATTTTTGTGTTGAAATATTCCCTACTAAAAAGCTCTGGACGGTAGTAGAACAGTAGAATTTTCTACAAAATCTATAATGAGATGGGGAGGGACACAGGAAATCACTTGTATCTGATATTTCTTGATTATCTTGCAGATAAAGCAATCAAAAAGAACTGTCAATCCTAACAACGGAGTTGCGTATTTTTCTTTTAAAAAAAAACCACAAGCCCTCTCACATCTGAACTGCTAAAAAACTACATGACAGAATTTTCTAGTCTGTTAAAAAATTTCCAAAGCATTTGAGTAAGTTTGGGACTCATCTGTTAAGAACTTCAGAATAAAGTGCCGTCTATTCTGTTTACAGAAACATCTGATCGGCACCAGGGAGGATGGAAATGTACTGGCCAAATTTCAACAAATCCTTCGCATACTCAGTGGGCAGGACAGAGAAACGAGGAACCCGATTTAGAAAGAGAGCAGCAATGCGTTTCCATGCGCAGCTCTGTGGCCCCGACGGGGACTGGATCAAAACCCAGGACGTAA